AAAAAAAACCAATTTATAATATTAAGTAGCCAGCATGTAGAGAAAAAACATGAAACTTAAAAATGTCCTCAACAAAAGCTGGCAATAAGTTTTCACTTTCCACAGACTCAGGAACATAAAGAGCCTTGTATTTCCACCACATCTCATGAACTCCAAAGTAAATCAGACTGATGCCATCATTAAAAAAGCAGAAATGTAAAAAGAAAAAGAACAGAAGCCTTAAGGAAAATTAAAAAACACAACCAGAAGGGCTAAATGTCCGTCTCAGCAGCAGCGAGAGACCTGTTGGGATCTCGTCCTGCGTCTTTTACTGAGTAAAAGCAATCACTGCTCATTAGAGGAGAATACAACAGAACTCTTGGTAGTTTATTTATATGTAATTACATTACTGTTAATGAAATGTCAAATTCATAACAAACTTCTAATCCTGAGTTCTGATAATCCTAATATTGATGAGATAAAAGAAAGAATAAAAAGCAAGAGTGAGGCTTGTGCTTTACTAATCAGCAACATCATCCATCTATTTTCCATTCTGATGATTCCCTCTCTCACAAGCAGAGACTTTGTAAGAGGGCCCCAGAGCAACAAAACCTGACAACCTGAGAGCTCCCGAGTTCCTAAAAAAGGCTTTTGGCTTCCTTGAAAAGCTCCAGTGTGTTGAAAATGTCTGTAAGTACAAAGCTCCAGGCGCGATTATAAAAAACAGCAAAGCCCGTGTCATTTGTTTGTCCCTGCTACCAACACCACACGAACAGAGTTGACAGCCACGACTGCTCAACATACATTTTCAAGCGTACAAAGACTTCCCGTTAGGCTGCTAATTTGCCTCAAGCTCAAAATAAGATGGAAATAAATTTGTTTCCATGGGGCAGACGCAAGAAGCCTCTCGGGCCACATAGTAATTATCTTCAGGCTGTTTGAAAATAGCACAGGACTGAACACAAGACTGTAACTCTCCAAAGTATCGAACACACGGTGATGATAACATTCAGCTCCGAATTTCCCCACACGATCCACAGTCTGTGTAGAACATATCATGAAGAAAAATCATTTGTTCTAAGTGACAGGAGAGACAACAAAGACCCTGTTCACAGCAAGAACGTTATTGACTTGTCGCAGCAGCAGTGAGAGCACAGGTGGAGCTAAACAACACTTATAACAATGGCTCTGCTTCCACTGAATGTCCCCCTGCTCCACACAAACCACCATTAATGTGGATAAATTACACCTGCTCCGTGGCATGTGAAGACGCCTGGCTCGCAGAAAAAAAAAGTCTACAGGTGATAATGATGATATCGATATGTTATTGTGATCCACTCTGTGATTACAAGGGTCTGTGCCGGTCTGGCGTTCCACACGTGTGCATTTCTCGAACTACACGCCACTGCATTAGGTGGCGGTGATGCACCGCAACACTGTTTGCCAACCGCTGTAAAAAAAAATAATCAAGAAGTAGGGTCACAAATTCTACGTCATTTGGTTGTTTTTGTCATATAAATGTGGGTAACGCCGGTAACGTTTTGTTTTCTGGAGCGGGCACGGACGGATGACACTCGCAGACACGCAGAGAGGTATGATCACGCATTTGTTTCGGATACTTACTCTTATAGCACATTTTCCTCCTCTTGAAGTTGAGCACTGTGTAGTTGTTGGCATGAATGGTCAGATTGAGCTGCACTGTCACAACAGCCTCTCCATCTACCTTGCCGGAACAAAAGAGGTCCACTCTAAAGACTGTAGGGAGAAAACACACACACACACACACACACACACACACACATTCAACAAACATCATTGAGAGAAACTTGCAAGATATCTGATTAAAACAAAACAAAAAATCCTTTGCTCTTTTCTCTGAGATATGCTTATCTGCTGTCTGGCAGAGAGAGTGTTTGTTTCATGTTTGTTTAATTGAAAAAAAAAAAAAAAAAAAAAACAGGGTCTAAAACGAGATTNAAAATCCTTTGCTCTTTTTCTGAGATATGCTTATCTGCTGTCTGGCAGAGAGAGTGTTTGTTTCATGTTTGTTTAATTGATAAAAAAAAACAAAAAAAAAAACAGAGTTTAAAACGAGATTTCAGCTGCTGAAAACTCCTCAGCAGTGTTTAAAAGTTTCCCCCATCCTCACACAAGTTAAAACTGCAGATTATGTGAGCATTATGTGTGGCATGAGTGCTTTTGACAAACCGGAGGGATCACTTGGCATCTCCCCCTGACTGGAGATGTTGCTCCGCGGTTGATTCATGGCAACAGGGTTCTCCACGTGGAAGCCAAGCCGGTAGTCAACCTGTGAACAAATAGTTGCCGACACGTGAAAGGGTCGTCTCGGGTGCGTGCGTGCGTGCTCGAGTACGGGTGTGATTCATCGATAATTCCTCACGCCGGGTCTTACTTTTGTCTTGGAATGCCATGTGAAGTGGAGGCTGTTGGTCTCGCTGGGCACGGGCAGGGTGAAGGACAGCGCATAATGATTCACCACATCATCTCGCACGTAGTAAAGCTCTGCATCCAGACCTGTGTGAGGACAGAGGGCATAAAAATCCAAGCTGATGAGAAAATACTGAGATCATCGGACATGAAAGGACAAATTCTCTAATCACACACAAAGAGAGAGCCTCAGAAAAAAAATGGTCAAATATCCACTTAAACCGCCAGCTTGGATTAGGAGGAGGAGGGGGGGGGGGTTCCCCTCAATAAGAGAGACTGACTAACCACATCTGTTAGTACTTGAGAACTCTTAGTGCCCAAGTGAAAAACTTCAAAACGTTCAAGTGAGACAACATCCAAAATATGACGGCGATTTTCTATCCAGGAAACAAAATTGGGCAGGGGAGGGGTTTAGAAGAAGGGAGTCGGATGCCTCAGATAAAAAAAAATAAATAAATAAAAAAAATGTGGTCTTGCGTACGACATCCACAATCTGCTTAACCATTCAGTCTTCAGTAAATGCAAAGCACGTGAACAACAGACAGCCTCACACGTCGGTACTGTGTGTGTGGTATTTCTTTATCATTCACCAAAACAAAAATGTTTTTTATTTTTTTTTCCACTGGGTTCCTGTTGCATCAAAAAGTCATCAAAGTCTAATGTGCGCTGGTGAAATCCCCAACCCCGGCCCGGGGGCAGTGCGATCAGTCCTTGAAAGCGTCTGTCTGGCAGAGTGGTCTCCGTCTATCGGTCTCCGAGTATCTAGTTTAAAGAGAGGGGAAGAATGTGCCCAGGCTCCCCCAATACCCCCGGGCTGTCGCAGAGCTCTGGCTCGTAGACCTTTCTCACATTGGCTCAATTAAAAACATTCCCAGCCATTTGCCAACTCAGAAAGGGAAGGGGTATTATGTAAACTAGTATTTAACCAAGCCCAAAGAGTAAGATTGCTGGCTTTCCTTTCCATTAATTAGGAGTTTGCCCCTTGTACATTTTCAGCGAAACAGATGCTGAAATTAAATTTAGGTCTATAAATGTAGAATTAAATGTTGATTTTAAACCTTAGAAATAGTAGTTTGACAAAATGAATCTCAACTCAAGATAAACTAACTGGTATTTTCCACAACGTTTATAGTGGAAACTCAGTTTGTTAATTTTTCTTGGGGAGTTGAACAAAGCAAAAACAAACAAAAGCAAGTAGGAAAGTGGAGCTTGAGTTAAGATTTTTTTTTGTCAAACGCAGAGTTGTTTTAATGTGTCAGTAACAAAGGTTTAATTGGGGATGCAACCTGGGATTATTTAATTATTGATTAATCTGCCAACTACTTTTTCAATTGTTTGATCTTTAAAATCACGAAAATAATGAAAAATGCACATAAACATTTTAAAAAGCTGAATATGTCAAATTATTTTGTCACATCAACACTCATACTCCAAAGATATTTTAGTTACTGTGAAATTATACTAAGAAAACACAAATGTTTTGGTGTTTTTACTTGAGAAATGACTCAATGATTGATTGATTAATTGATTGATTGATTATAAAGCAGTCGCAGACTTTTCATGAAGATCAAATAACTGATTAATCAACAAATCATTTCATCTCTTAAGTTAATTGGTATAAGCACAGTAATAATAAATTCCAGTGTTTCCTCTAAACCAGTGTGTATCTGTAAAATCAGCTAACAGCTGTTAGCATCCTCACCACTGATGCCAGATTGTGTGCATTTAAAAACCGCTGATAATTTGGCCTGACACTCATATGTCTGAGGTCAACGCCTGTCCATCCTTGGTTTTAGAGGGATTTATAACACCTGTTGGAAAGCTTTTAGTGCGGGGCTAAGACAGACAGACAGACACAGACACACACACACACACACACACAACGCTGTACAGACTCACACTGAGCTGAAATGAAACAAGTGCACAAAATTCTTCATTTTTTTTACTTTTAGCATTTAATCTTAATCTTATTAGGGGCTTAAAATGAAAGACTAACTAACAGTAGTTAGCACTTGTATGTAACACAGCTTTAAAAAAAAGAACCAGACATAGCGAGATACATGTGATTAAATATAATAAAAAGTGATATTTTCTTCATATTGCCCCTTTTAATTTCATGCACTGGCTCTAATGGGTATACATGCAGGCACTCGACAGGCACAGACACAACCACACAGTTCAGTCCTGTAATAATTGCCTTTCTCATGCTCAACTCTGTGTGCCTCCCTTGTCTCAACATGTGGCCACACTGCTTTGATACCAATTAAACTATGCAACCAGGCATGCAGGCCCAAAGAGGACCAGTGTGCTCAAGGTTGTCCTTCCCACAGCACCTCAGCCATCCACCAAAACTGCAACGACTTCAAAAACAGGAAAGTGGAGGAATGGCAACAGGAGCCTGTCAGTGTACACAGACTGAGGACAGGGAATAAGTGGTTCCTGAGGTTAAGGAAGTTGAACCGTGCACTGCAGTTTAATCCCTGACTCACACTCTGTGCTATCTGGGATGGGGGAAACAGCATTACTAGAAGGTGTGCCTGTAAACAAGACTCTTATTTGTTTAGTGTTTAGTCACAACATATAAAAAGAGCCCCACTACACCATCACGCTGTTTGCCATTACAGATGCAGATGTTTTTTTGTTTTTTTTCCTAATGCTAACAAACTTCTTAAATGCAAAGGGGAAAATAACTTGGCAGCATTTTGTTTTGAGGGATTATTTCCTGCTGGACATTTCCATTCCTCTCTGCTGGTGTCAAGTGATTAACAATAGCCAGGGCAGAACACACTGTGTCACCTGTGCTGGTCTGAAATCACTCAACTCGAGCTTCCTTGAGCATTCAGGATTTAACAAAGATAGATTATATATCAAAGTTATTGCTTCGTGCTTAGTGTAATCGATCATCAAGCTTTAAATTGTGAAAATTGTTTCTTACTTTTAAATGACACCAAATTCTGTTGGTCAAACAACCATTTGCATCTTTTATTTAACCATATTTTCCACTTCTAAATATTGATACCTCATGTTACATGTATGCAGCACTGTATATGCCTTTTTTTTCCTGGCGTTTAGAACTAAGAACTTCATTATAGGTGTTAATACCATTCATTCTGTTTATACATAGAGTTTAAAGCATTTAAAAGTATAAATAATTACATATTTATCAAATAAATACAGTTTGAAGCAGAAATAATTAAAACAGTGTACTTTTTTGTATTCAAATAAATTTAATTATCTAACTTGTAAATGTCTCCTCGTATTCCTTTATTAAGGAAAAACACATTATTTGATACATTTTCATTGTGGCCATAAAGTTCTTTATGCGCTCCTAAATTTTTAAACTTAAGAGCAGATGTGCTCTTTGAGTAAAAAGCAAGCGTCAAGCCCTGATTAAGCACAGACTAACATCTACAGCTATGTTTGGATAAACCTTGGCTATCGTGATGCATGGCTTGGCCCACAGTGACATGCAGCCATAAGAACCATCTGTTAAAATCAGCGCTACAGTTTAAGTTTGTCATGCACAATTACATGATGTGACACTGTTTATAGAAAAACGTGATGAAATTCATCATCATAAATCAGCAATGCGACTTGATCGACGGGTCACACACTGTACTGCTGCAAAAACAAAAATCTGAACTGAGGCCCTGAAAACTGTAGGCGGTGCATCGCTGGTTTCTGTTACTCATTGTTGGTGTTTGCTTCGACGTGGAACAACTACCTGTGGCTTTCCTTACGGCCAGTGACTGCCAGCTGATTCAATATTAGACTGGATGTTGTGCAAAAGTGGGAAAGCAGGAAGAGGAGTCCTTATATAACTTTTCATGGTTGAACAGCTTCCATTATTAGGGTTTGTACAGGAAAAAAAAAAACAAGAAAAACATGTGATTTCCACCATAATTACTTCAGTCTCAGTCATTTAAAAACAATTCTACTCCTACAAAGTGGCATACCTGATTTAAGTGACACCTAAATTAAAGACAGTAATGAGGGACACGATTAAAACAGTTAGATAGTAATGTTAATGGTTGTGAAAGTAGTATAAATTATGCACAAAATAAGTTCTTTAAATTCTGTCTTAATAGAATATTCATGTCACATTATGTATTATAATACTTTGAGAGAGCTATTGGTCGCTGTAATGATTAAGGTTGAGCCGATAGACGATGATCGCGGTGATCTACAACGTTCAGAGTGATCGCTGGTAGCTTCTGCCAATTATTTGTTTTGCCAATATCAAGACAACATTTGGCTTGTTTCCCCATTTGTGTCAAAATAATAATAATAATAAGTATTACTGTTATTGTGAACATTATTAGTAGTCAAGAGAGTCACAAGAGAGAGAGAGAGGGGGAGAAAGAACTGGATTATTAAATGTAAATAATTAATGCTTTGTTTGCGATGACAGTTTTGTTTAGTTTAGTTTTAATTTGTTATCCTTCTGTGGGCATGTCCACTCCAAGAATACAATAAAATACATTTCAAGTCATTAACTTCGACATTTTTCATTATTTTCTGACAGCTGATTCTACAACAATGAAAATAATCATCATCATCAGTTGCGCCCTAACGCTCGCTAGAAACAGTGGGTAAAGAAACGCGCTGCACACACACTAGGACCAATGATGTGATGGTGCTTCATCCATTGAGCAACATGGTTTGTTTTTAAATAGTCCGGCATCAAGCAGAGTCCAACAACTGCAATAGTTGAATGAATTCTGATACAGATATGAAGGCACAGCCCTTTAAAAGCATATTTGAGTCACTATAAAAGATGAAAATGATCAGAAGCTACTCAGGCGGGAAATTAAGAAAGATGCACAACTTTTGCTTGACCGGGATTTAACACCGGACGAATCACATGCTCTTTTCCACTCAACACCCTACTGACATTCCTAGAGTACCAAACACATTATACCTCAGAGCTGCCCAGCACAATCAGTCCTCTGCTGTTGGCCACAGAGCAGCTCCACTGGATCAGAATTTAAGTACCTTGCTCAAGGGCACATCAACACTTCTTTCAAATGTGAGAAGGGAGAGAGAATTACTTGCTCGTTTCTTCTTCCCATATTTTCCATACAGGG